TAAGATCAATAAAGTTTGATTTTTTTTATCTAATGTCTGCCTCCTGAAGTCTCCCTCATGTTTATTCCTTCCTTCTGTGATTTTCTTCAGGACAGCACTTAATATTGACGCACTTGACTGACAGTTGAAGAATGGGGGATCAAGGAGAGGAATCAAGGAGAAGGAAGCGAGGAAAGAGAACTGAGACGTGGCCCAAATTAATATTTTAAATCATAAACTCAACTGTAGAACACAAAAAGCATAACTACTATAGAGCCACATCTGCCCATTTGATATTATAATATGTTTAATCCAGCATTGCGCATATTTGTTTATGCTTTAGAGAACAAAAACTTTAAACCACACTGGCCTCTTTGCATAAACTTTAAGTGCTGGAAAACAGCTGGCTGCTTGTGCTCTGATGTGGTCAGTTTCTGTTGTACTAAAGGACTCAGTAGAATATATGTGTTCTTTCTGTGACCGGGATGTGCTGCTGATGGTGAGTCTATTTTGTGATTGTATACTGTACTTGTATACTTTTAAAAGATCATATCTGCAGATCATATGTGTGCAGGGTCACTGCAGCTCTTTATTTAACAGCAGTTATTTCACTCATGTACAGTCACTTTATTTATGTAGACTACTGCTGTGATGAAAACATTGGCTGTAAAGACCACAAGGTTTAAATAAAAAGACTCAGCAGTGGAAGATGGTGCCCTAGTTGTAGTCTGTTTTCTGGGAATTGTAGTTTTGACTGAACAGCTGTTGTTCCTGCTGCTGGTTAGGAGAATTCAGATCCACCTAAAGCTGCGATAGCTCTTTCTCCTCACTGGTCCTTACTCCTTGATCCTTATTGTTGACCTCATGACATAGCTCTCAGAGCGAAAAGGAGAAGGAAGGAGAAGGAAGGAGGTATTTTTTTATTAAAGACTGATAACATTTTCCACTGCCTGAGATCGCTTTTCTTCAGTAGTTTTGCTGAGTTTTTGCACAAACTAGCGCAAACAAAGTACAAATTATTGACAATTTTTGTGTAATGAGCTGAGCATGCCCACAAAGCTGCTTAATACACACCTAATAACAAAAAGACACATTTCACCGCAGCTACATATAGTATAACTGCTTTTGAAATTCCACTATTTTCATTCCACACTCCTTATGATCAGTAAAAACATATACAGATATTTACACCTGCACATCCATATGAACATGGCTTGAAACATGGCTTGACATGACAGTAACTAACCACCTGAATGTGGAGCAATATTCACTTTGACATTCAGCCATGAATGTGCAGGGTTGTAGCACCAAATTTTGGGCCCTGGGTACAAATCATCTTGTTAGGGCAGCGTAACATGTTATCCGATGAAAAATGCCTATTTAGGACTTTGAGCAACCCTTCATTATTAGTCTGTCTTACAAAGATGTGTGAATGAAACAAAACAGAACTCCAGGTATGTTTTTGAGGAAGTAACAACATTATAACGTGATGTAACAGTCACAAGATTCAGTTTTGCGTAATATAGGACTTTTCATTTTGATAGAGTTTTCTATTGAGTCTATAGATTTCTATAGAGTAGATGTTTCAGCATAGAAATGGTTACTAGTTAACTAGAGTGTGTTTCTAACTTGAGTCTAATCAGTACAGGACAGTACAGTTCTACAGAAACTCAAACTCCAAAATCAAACTAATTCCAAGCAGTCTTAATTTAGTCATGTTACACACGACACAATGGTTGGCAAGTTGACAGATTTGTTCACTGTGGAGCCGAAGTATCTACATCTCGTCTGCAACATATGACTGTAAACAATGAGGTCTGTGCACTGTGCCTTTAAAACTGCGATGAAGTGATTTATGTAGACTGAGAGTAGCAGGGACAATACCTGTCTCTGAGTGCCTTCACATTTACAAGGGAAGTTGTGTGGCCCACCTCCTATCAGCATGAGCCTGTTATTAGTCAGATGTTTATGGTCTGATGGGTGTTTGCCAGGCCATAAAAGACAGGTCCTTCACTGATGCAGATGCAGATAACTAAATTCAGAGAAACAAATGCAATGTGGGAAAGGAGCTGATTGCAATAGCAGCAAAGAGAACAAAGTGTTGCGTTATGAGAAAGTGCCACGACATGAGAGACATCTTGAGCCTTACCTCATTATTAGTGACTCAAGAAATGGTGATGCAAGGTGCTCCTCACATGGTCAACCGTGTTATTACAAATGTTTTTAACCGGGTCAACTAGATTTTTGTGCCTAGTAAAAAAATTATAAAATGATGATTATAAAATCACGATAACAGGTGAAAATATAAAGTGAGTAAATAAATGCTGGAAATTGAGTGTTGGGTTTAAAATATGATTAAAAAAAAATCTTAATAGTAATTTGGATTAACACACATACAATATCTAAATGTGTGCAGCTAATTTGTAATACACAACATTTAAATTATAAAATTAAATTGGACATAGAAAATGTTATAGTCAAGTGATGGCTGATATAATGACGTAGGAATATGGGGTAATATAGTATCTATATGAAACCAACAGGATATTGGGCAAACTCTTTGAAAAACAGTTGTATTTTCAAAGTGCTTTAGTTCCTGCCCATTGTGGAAGTGGCACTAGGACAGAAGGTAAGGTAATCTTTCTTGTCATTGTAACAAAGAATAATGAAATATTTAGATTTGTTTTTAAATCATGAATAATAATCTAACAAATTTCCTTCGGGATAATAAAGTATCTACTATGTCTTCCACTCACAGCCATGAAGTTAGAGGTGTCTATCGATGACCTTTACGACTACCTAAATGACAGCAGCTACGACAATATTACATCTTATACTGTGAATCCACATACCATCCCATGTCAGCTAAAACTACTGGATCCTGCAGCTTGGCATCACTATATGTTTTCTCCTTATTGCCATCTTTGTACTGGCAATCCCTGGCAATGTTTTAGTGGGCTGGGTAATACGCACCAGTCAACAAGCGCTTACCCCATCAGATATCTACCTTTTCCACCTCACCATAGCGGATGGACTCATGGCTTTGACTATCCCATTTTGGGCAGTTGTGGTGGTACGAGGATGGCTGTTTGGAGGATTCATGTGCAAAGTTATAAGTCTAATTTTTGACACAAATTTCTACACCAGCATCTTGTTTCTGGCATGTATCAGCATCGACCGCTACCTTGTGATTGTGCATGCTAGTGAAAGCTTCAAAAGTCGTCAGAGGATGTGTAGCCAGCTGTTGTGTGCAGGAGTGTGGGCCCTGGGTTGCGCCCTTGCCTTGCCTGCTCTCTTCAATGACATCGCAACGCTGAGAAATGACTCTGATTTGATGATATGCAACGATAACTTTTACATTGGCAATGCATCAAAATGGAGGATTGCTATTCGTGGGTTTCGGCATATTTTTGGTTTCCTGCTTCCTCTTGGTGTCATGGTAACCTGCTACAGCATCACCATTGCCAGGCTCTTGCGCACCAGAGGTTTTCAAAAGCATAGAGCAATGAGAGTGATCATAATAGTAGTGATTGTGTTTTTGTTATGCTGGTTGCCGTACCATCTAAGCATGATAGTTGATACACTCTTGAGGGCTGACCTGATTCCATATGACTGTGCCAGGAGGATGTCAGTAAACACGGCGTTGGGGGTCACAAACAGCCTGGCTCTCCTTCACAGTTGCATCAATCCTTTCCTCTATGCCTTTGTGGGAGAGAAGTTCAGGAGGAAAATGAGGATGCTGCTGCAGAGAAAGATGGCACAAGAGAGGATGTCAGTGTCGAAATACAGCAGGTCCACTTCTCAAACCTCAGAAGGCACCGGGACTGTCCTGTGAAAAGTTTTCCTTTTTTTTTTTTTTTTTAAATAAAATCTTTTTATAAAAGTCCTTGGGCTAAGGTTTTCTAAGCTCACTGCTGTTGTCCAGTGGTTTACTTACTGCTTGCATCTGTATCATGTTGGAACACGCACAGAAATGCAATGTATTTAGTAGTCATGGCAATAAAGTTTCTGTTTTACAAAAAAGAAATGTTATTTATCTTAAAGAGCAAATATATAAATATATATATTTTATATTTATATTTTTATATATATATATACTATTTTCTGATATTCACACATGACTGATGCACAAATCCTGCATACTTAGGCTGAGTTCCTCTTTCATACAGAAAACACTCTGTTCCACCTTGTGATGTCATGTGGAAGTGCACCAGAATTATTTAGATGATTTGGATCAGCCCTGGAATTACCAATCTCTAGTGAACTAAACGTAAAGGTAGCTGTTAACTTGAAAACTACCACTACATGACATCACAAGGTGGAACAGAGCATTTTGAGCTTTGGAGATGTAGACAAACTAAAAACAAAGGGTTACACAAAACATATTCTAACATGGCTTAAACGCAGGAGATTTTGCACAACGTGGATAGAACCTTATAATAAAGCCAATAATGGAAGCTGCATCCATATTTGAGCTAACTTAGTGCTAATAATACCTTAGAATGAACAAGGAGGAGCAAAAACACAAAAAGAGCAATGAGATAAAATCAAGAAATATTACTTGAAATAGATATTCCTCCAACAGATGGCGTACTCAATGCTAAAACCGAGTGTCTAAAGTAAACTCTTGTAAAATTACAGATATCTTGTTTTCCTGAGCATAGTTCATTGTCTTTTCATGGAACAATAGTCACAAACTGCTTAAAATGTCAGCAAAGTTAAAATGCACTCACATCTGCGAAAATGAATCTTTTCAAAACAAACTTGCACAACCGTGACTTAAGACTCCATATCCCCGAAGCCTTAGCGTCATGCTGCTTTCACGTGATCCTCGGGAACTAGGGACTTCGACTTATTTGCGTTCATGTGCCTTTTTCTTGGAAAGTCAAAATATTGTTTTCACGATCAATTAAATCACTGAAATCACCGTTCATTAACAGCATTTAAAAGAGCTAACCAACAGGCTAAGTGTTGTTATTAATTAATAAAGAACATTATCGCCCCACTCTCTGTAATTGTTGTTTTTCTGACTTAACAGATCGTTCAAGTGCATTTTTTAACTAAGAAAAACATTTTCCCGAGTTCCTGAAGACCACATGAACGCAGCATGAGTGTCTGACTGAGAAACAGATTCTGATGCGTAGCACGAGGTGAGCATTGTTTACTTGCACTCAAATATATTAGAATGGAGCACTAAATCAGCGGATCGTGTAGATAGCGCCGATCTGACAGAATAGATCAGATATCACTGTTTCTGTCGGGAATCCACAAAAGTGTTTTATTATCACAGATGCTACTCTTAGCCGGCTACACAATATAGCTGTTTTGTTTATAAATCTTCTTAAAGCTTCATAAGAAGAACATGCTTTTAAACAGGCTAATATAAAGATCTGGCCTATTCAGTTCTCAGTTTTGGTCTCTGTAATAACCAGCCTGTATATGGTACACTGTTATTACACAGGTTATAAGAGGCTCCTGCATACTGCCGGCTTGCTCAGTCTTCACATACAGTGGGAATAAAAAGGACTGTTTTTCTCTGTTACACCACAAAGTTAGATGTGTAAACATGTTTTTCTGTAGTCTCCATGCGGTGTTAAACTAAAAGCCTTTCTGTCTTTTCAGGTTAACAATGACAAAGAACTCTGGATAACTCTGTCACTGTGCAATGTGGATTGACACAAAGGTCACCGTTTCCCTTGACAGCATGTAGCATTTTAACCCAGCCTGTAAAATGGTTCAGTGTTACTAGCTCATTTACTGGTATGACGTCTTCTTTATACCGTTACAATTTGTGTTCAGTGTTGATTTAAAAATTGAAAGTAAGGCTAGATTGCATCATACCCTCTATGTGGATTTTACTCTGAGAAGTCCCTCCATCACTTAAGATGGTAGCCGAAGACCCAAACACCAGCGGAGACGAGTTAGATGGGGAGAGAAATATGAAATTGCCAGGAGTGGAAGATGGAGATGCAGAGTTGGCCATTTGTGCCTCAGATTCACCTTCATCTCCTGAAGGTCTCCAAGAAGAACCCAGAAAGTGGAAGTTTGCAGTCATTTTTTTGTGCGTGTTTGGATTTATGGCTTCCATTAAGCCGGGGGAGCCTTTTATTACGCCATATCTACTGAGTGTGGAGAAGAACTTCACCAGGGAACAGGTATGGAAAAATAGAGTTGGACATGTTAGCTTGACTTTAGATTAATGTTCAGTCCAGCACTTCTGACACACTGAGTTTAATGAGTGCTCTGTGGTGAGTTTGCTGATCCAACCTATTACGGTCAAAGTTCACATTTTTGTGTGGGTCAAAGAAGAAAAAAGTCTGCAGGAGTGAATAGTTATATCACACCACTGAGTCATTCTAATCAGTAAATTACAGATTGCTAGATAGCTTTAAGTAAATATAGCCAAAATGTTAGCATTTTGTTTCAGTTGCTCAATGATTTTAAACATGAAAACACTCTTTAGACACATGTAGTGTTGTAGCTTTGCCTGTTTTGACTCACATTCCACTCTCAGGCCGATTGTCCTGGTGTTGTTGATTTGCTTCACAGCTGCGCTTTGTTTCTGATGAGATAAAAACAAACAACTGTTCTGCTCGATATCTTGACCTGGACATCTGTTATAAATAAACCTTAACAATAGATGCATTCCCTCAAAAAGAATTGTTATGAAATTTAAATACATTTAAGCTATGTTATGGTAAAAAAAAAAAGAAAGAAAAAAAGAAAATCAAAAGTACGCCTGTCACGATAAGAAATTTTCCTAAGAGCCTAAGAGCAGCTTTATACCACAAAAACTATACTAAAAAAAAAAAGTTCTTAGTTTGCATTTGTAATGAGTCATACAAGTTATTCAGTAAACCTTCTACAGCTCAAATCTTACCATATATCCAAAAATATAAATTATTTAATATTATACATTTTCAAGTAGTACAAAGAAAATGTACACACGACAATACTGACTCCAAAAAATATTGTTCCTTCTATCATATGTTGAACGTTAGTAATTATTGTGACAGGCCTAACCAAAAGTCTCAACATATGACGTTAACTAAATTGATATTGCCAGATAGGAGGTCGAATGGCTGACCAAAAAGGAGATTTATGAATGTTGCGGAGGAGGTCATGGAGTTGACTGGTCTGAGAAAAGAGACTAGCATATTAGTAGGTTGAAGTTTATTTGTTTTGATGTCAAATAGGAATAGTAGGACACAAACTCTGCACTACGACAGACAAATCCAAAAGTAGAAACTAGAATAATAAATTGGACATTTCAGGTTTTGTATGTTGTATATTTTTGTATGTTGTCAACTGTTGCTTACCTGGAACTGATGTTTTCATCTCCCAGGTGACCAATGAGATCACCCCTGTACTCACCTACTCGTACATGGCCGTGCTAGTGCCTGCATTCCTGCTCACTGACCTCCTGCGCTACAAGCCTGTTCTGGTCATTCAGGGCCTCAGTCAGGTGGTCATCTGGCTTTTGCTCTTGTTGGGCAGCTCCCTCCTCCAGATGCAGCTCATGGAGTTCTTCTATGGCATCACCATGGCCTGCCGAGTGGCCTATTCCTCCTACATCTTCTCGCTGGTCAGCCCCACCCTGTACCAGCGCGTGGCCGGCTACTCCCGGACCTCAGTGCTGCTTGGAGTCTTTACCAGCTCAGTTTTGGGACAGTTATGTTTATCACTGGGTAACATCACATTCTACACCCTAAATGCCATTTCATTAGGATTTGTAAGCTTGGGATTGCTGCTCGCGATTTGCCTCCCCTGGCCGAAGCGATCACTGTTTTTTAACCGCAGTCAGGAAAAAGCAGTAAAAAAGGAATTGGACAAAATGAATCCTAAAAAATCTTCAGAATCAAAGTGGAAGGACTCGGTGTTAGTGCAGATGTTGCTGGAGCTGAAACATGTGCTCAAGATGCCCAATTTGAGGCTGTGGTCGCTCTGGTGGATCTTCAACTCCACGGGTTACTACCTGGTGCTCTTCTATGTCCACATTCTATGGAACAAGGTCTATCCAGCCACAGAAAACAAGAATGTGTACAACGGTGGAGTAGAAGCCGCATCTACTTTATTAAGTGAGATTTTTACATTTCTAAACTCAAAGGTGCACTGTGTCACTTGTTCAGTGGAGGGTCTGTCACTGGCTTGTCTCCGTGGAGACAAGTGCACCTTTAATTCTGGTCTGCTTTTACATGACAGGAGATGGAGCTTTGTATGTGCAAACATAACCACTTTCTGACCATAAAGATAAACCAACACCGACAAGTTACATTATGACATCATTATTATTATGACATCATTATTATTATGCAGCTCAACACAGCTTTAATGGACTCTGACACTATCAGGCCAGCTTTAACCCTCTCTATTGCATGCTGATCAGAAATACTACACAGTACAGAGACTGGGCAGTAAGGTGAAATCATAACTAAGCATGGCCTTAACCCCTTATTGTTTCGTCTTAGTTTCCCTGAAATGCCTGACTTAAGATTACCTCAATTCAAACAGAAACTGTTTCTGAACCCTTTGGGGCTCAGACAAATGGTTGTCCCCTGCTGTCCTCTAACTGTACTCTGACTCTACTTTAATTGAAAAAAAGCTCTACACAAAAGAAAGCCAGATTTCAAATTCCAGCAAATTTTTTTAAAATAGGGATATAATATATATAAAATAAGGTATAGCTGGTGTCCCTGGGGATGGCCCGAGAGAGAGAGCAGATTGAGCGTTTGTTGGGTCTTGACAATTCCCATGTCAAAGCTGAAGCACATCTCACTAAACATGAGACTTAGGCACTTGTAATTAGGCAAACAAGTTCAGGCGAAATTCATATAAATGCCTTTCTAAAAATATGCATTACTGTGAGTGGGATTACCTCTCCACGGATCTGACGTGTGACTTGACTTAGATGCGCCGCCTGCTTGTCTCCTTGGAGACAGTCAGATATCTTAATGTCTGACTGCAGAACATGACAGGCAAAGGAATAAAATCTCCATGGAAAAAAGCAAATGGCAGACCCTCCATTTGAGAAGTTACATAGTGCACCTTCAATAATAAAATTTATGAACATGGACAAAGTCTAAACCACACTGCGTTCCACACTAGTGTCATTTAGCACACACACAAAAAAATCTTAATAAACATTTTTTTAATTGATTCATTTGATTTGATCAGATACAGACAAACAATGGCTTGTTCTCTCACGATAATTCTCCATGATTTTGTGTACTATGCTATATTTAACTTTTTTAAATATATAGATTATCTTTGGTAACTGCTACTTTTTTCCACTTGTGTTTTTGCATTAGAAAAATATAAAATTGGAGTCTAGTAACCGATTGTGTTAATTCTTTTATGAATTTGAAGGTGCCTTGACATCCTTCATTGCGGGCTATGCCAAAATCCGATGGAACATTTGGTCTGAGCTCGTCATAGCGGTCATCACTGCGGTCCAGGCTGGACTGTTATTGCTCATGGGAACCACAAACAACATCTGGGTGTGCTACATCGCCTATGTGCTTTTCAGAGCCTTCTACCAGTTTTTGGTTCCTATTGCAACGTAAGCTATAAAATCTCAGTGTTTTAAAGGTGCATTATATATCGTTTCTGATGGAGTTTCCATCATATGCTCGTCTCCATGGAGATGTTATTGCTTTGTCTGGAATGTTTCACAGTATGATATTAAACCTTTCTATCTTCATGGAAATCAAACCAGACCAAGTTACAGCTCAGGTCTGTGGAGAGGCAACCCCGCTCACAGTCAGATTGCCTGTTTTTCTGCAATAAAACCACCTGTAATTGAATAAATGTAGGGTAAATCTGTTTAATGTCACACTGTGGAACATTCTAAGCAGAGCGGTGATATATCCACAGAAACAAGCAGGTGACAGACCCCCAACCAAAAAGTTATACACTGCACCTTTAAACTGTAATATTGTTTCTCTGGTATTTTAATGTTTGTATTTTTAGATTTCAGATTGCCTCATCTCTTACAAAGGAACTTTGTGCGCTTGTGTTTGGGATCAACACTTTTCTTGGAACTATTTTGAAAAGCATCATTAACTTAATATTTTCTGACAAGAGAGGGCTAGGATTGGATGTGCACTCACAGGTTAGAATCCCATATTTATCTCCATTTAACTTATGATTTAACATAATATAGACAAGTATTAACATGTCTAATTTGTTCGTCAAATGTCAAGCTGTGGTAAACTACCAGTTGAGCCAGTATATCAAATACTAGTAATGCTGATTAACCATTTCTTGTTAATTATTATGACTGAGTTTTTTTTTTTCTTCCAGTTTCTTGTCTACTTCATCTACTTTGCCCTACTCACAGTGGTGTACTTTGTCTGCGCTGCCGTGGTCATAATCCGGCACTTTCGTAACCGGCCTGACAAAGGATGCAGGGTCAACCAGCTGTCCACAGAGCTGACCCCAGTTGCAGCCAGTTCAGAGACAGAGCCACTGTCAAATGGCAAAAGTGTCAAGTCTTAAAAATATGTTTTCCTATTTTAATAATATTTTGAGCAGAGCGTTAATAAGTGCCTCCTCTGCTGTCAGTGCACTTGTCATCCACGATTTTATCATTTTACAATCATACATATTATCTTTTACAACTATAATGTTGTTCTAAGGGGAGGGCGGGTATTCAGGTATAATCAACACTCCCACATCAGTATTAGATGTTAGATGTTGTTTTTAAACCTGACCAAGGCTGTTAGAAATGCTTATTGGTACTACTGATACTACTGTATAATACATTTTTATTGTCAAGCATTTTAGAATATAGAACATATTTCCCTCTAACTTGGTTGTTGTAGGGCATTTACCGATGTAATTGTTGAATTTCACTTTGTTTTGACTGTACAACATTAACTGATACTTTGTAGTGACATCACACTGGGGTGTTTTACATGTACTCTATTGGCAGAATGTTCAACAGTGACACAATGGGCAAATTAGCAAAAACTGCCATAAATGTTTTAATATAGCCGTAAAAATACAAAATGAATTTAAAAAACGCATTTTCAAGAGGCTGTAATCAATTCACGTGTTCACTGTCCTATTAAGGAGTTTGATTTTCAACAAAGAGGTGAGCGTGGCTTGAGTTTACGTGTGAGATACAAATCATCACACCCGTTGTAGTTCCAACTAAGTCAGCTCTTTCTGGTCAGAGTGTGTTAAAATAAAGCTCAGATTAAGCCTTAATTGAGTAACAGAGCTTCGGACATAGCAGTGCTTTCAGTTAACTTCACATCTCCAGAGATGGTTGATGACATCAGCTGCCGAGTATCAACAGGGATAAACAACAGAATCTTTTAGAATATGGAATGTATTTCTCTTTAATTCACTTTTTTACAGGTTGTTGTAGGGCATTTACTGATCTAACTGTGAAGTTTCATTTTGTTTTGATTGTACAACATTCTTCTGGCTGATAATGCACAATTAAGGATAAGCACCAGCCTCGTTTGCTGTTACTAAGTTTTTCTACGGAAAAAGGGCTTGGGATAAAAATACGTTGTTACTTTGTAGCTACATAGGTACCTCACCTTAAATTCAAGACAATACAATCATTCTGTTGAAAAACAATGTTACTTGGAATACAGTGCCAAAATTCTGAAGGTCTTCCTTTTGTGGCTATTAAATGTTCATCACAGTATTGATTCTTACAAAATAATGTATACATATTAATTGTCACATTGCTGCATAAATTTAAAATGTGAAGAAGTCTGACTGCTGTATGCAAATCAATCATATGTTTTATATTCACAAATAAATAGTTGCTGAATTAGACAAAAAATATTTTGTTCACTACACTCACATTAAACCAGAGGCGTGTTTAAGTTTTAATAGAAGACACTTTCATTAAAACTGTAAGGCTTATGAAAGTAAATATTCACCTGTTAAATAATGGCGGATGAAAGACTATACCAAACATTCATAAGTATACAAATTATGATAAGTATACAAATTATCAAAAACAGTTGAAAGATTCAGATTCTAGAAAAACTTAAAACTTGCAAAATTTAAATTTGACTGCATCACTGAAACAATACCACTGCTCATACGCCAATACATCAAGCAAACATTGCGTTTCGATAGATTAGAAAAAAAGCAATGCTGCCCTCCAGTGTCTTACATTAAAAGTGAGCTAACCTTCAATCAAAAAACAACAACAAAAACAAAACTGTAGTGCATTAATTTAGTAAAATTGGAGTGTATTATTTAACATTTAGCTTTAAAGCAGGGGTGTCAAACTTACATTCACAGAGGGCCAAAATTAAAAACTGGGACAAAGGCATGGACCAAACTAAATATTTATTGAAAAATTTCAACATCTGCATGTTTTCTCTTCTTTTGAGATATGTAATGTTCAACCTTTTCTTAATAAAATAAATGTTTAATAATAGTTGTGCTTAGACACTGAATAATATAGAAAAATATAAAATAACATTTTAAATAAATAATGTCTCTATAGCCTATCTGTAGCCAGCGAGCGAGCTCTAATACATTTTTGATATGATCTCACGGGCCAAATCTGGCCCCCGGCCTGATTTTGACATGTCTGCTTTAAAAGTTTCAAAACACAATTCCATTCAGTGCATGTTTCAGTCTACTTACCTTTAAAATTTAAAAAATCACATGGTCTATGACAATGGTTTTGTTACAGTGACAGCAAAAATAAGAAGGTAAAAGACAAAAGTTACAAATAAGAAATCAATCACATCTTCAATCCATCCAATGTTAAACAATCTAAAGTGTAACATAACAGGAGATGTTATATGATGTTGCATTATTAAATTATTCAGAACTTAAAAAGCATATTAAAAGTGCAATGTGTAACCTTTCTGGTGGAGGGTCTGTTAACTACGTTTCTCCATGGAAATGTTATTATTTGTGTGGAATGTTTCACAGTAAACCTTTCTATCTTCATGGAGACCAAAACAGACAGAAGTTACAGGTCAGTCTGTGGAGAAGCAACCCTGCTCACAGTCAGAATGCCTGTTTTTCTAGGTATTTTTGCACAATAAAACCACTGTAATTGAATAAATGTAAGAGCTGTTTAATTACATACTGTGGAACATTCCAGGCAGAGCAATGGCATATCCATAGAAAAACACATGTGACGGACCCTCCACCAGAAAAGTAACACAATGCACCTTTAAGACAAAACCCTAAACTCCAAATGCTACTGAAACACTCTTCCCGTTAATGCCTAGTGTCTTTCTATTGTTATACAATGTAGCACCCTCAGAAAAGTCGAAGCTACTCGTCAGATGGCATTTTTGTAGCATCTTTGTAACATGTTTCTCATTGACTTTCTAACATGGAGTTCCTTTCTCCTAAAAGCAAATATAAAAAAAAAAAATTATATGGACAATTCAGTACTACTACACAATTTAAATGAGTGGCCTACCTGGTTGTTCATTAGCATATGAAGGTTCAGGGGCATCTGGAGAACAGACACTCATATATAAGTTTTTTAAGTTTAAATTGAATTGTGTTTATTTCATGGAATTATTAATCAATTAAGTGCAATAATAGCTGAGTAAAAAAATCATACCTTGTCTTTGCGTCTTCTGCCAAAAATCTGGCCACAAAAAAATATGATTTTTAGAAATGGAACAGACAATACACTTACATTGCTAATTGTAAACTTAATGTATTTACCTGCTTGCCATGGCATTGCATCTACATAAGGCAAATCAGTGAGTTAATAATTTTACAAGCAATTGAAAAGCATACATGGTGTAAATTATTCATACCTTTTTGAAAGAACCACATCCCTGGGGATAAACATAAAAGTACATTAGACAAGATAAATACTAATATTAATATAATAATATCAGGGTTTAGTTATACAGTACCTGATTTAACTCTGTGAGCCAAAACAACCACAAGTACAGCAGTTAAAAGGCACGCAAATACTACAAGTCCGGAGTTTATCTTCAGACCATCACCACCATTATTACCATCATCTATTAAACAAAAAGGTAGGTCTAGGTAGGTAGGTCTAACTGTGCACTGTTAACAATATAACAATACAGTATAAGAAGTAAGAGAAGTATAAATTAATTAGCAAACACAGATAAGTGCCATTTTAAAAAGTGATGGGAGGCTTGCAGTTAACATTTTAAGAAATGTTTTCAAAAGCCTAATGTATTTTTCAATATCTTTCAATCTTACTGTTTTGACAACTGAACTCTTCATATGTAGAAATACAAATGATTGCAACAGTAAAGATGAAACCGTTAGTAAAGAGTAAAAAAAGAATACAAACCTGGAGGTGAAATGTTACGATTAACAAAAGGATCAGCAAACGGCTCACTGCTCTGATGACTGACTGGGTTCCTTAACTCACAGATAAACTCAGGTGCTGTACTTGCCTAAAATCAAAGACAACAGGTGTGTGTTAAATAGTTAATGTAATAATCACATAACAATGAATGAAAAAAAAAATATAAATACCAGAGTGATTTCAAACTGTTGATTTGATTGTTGCTCTGTGCTGTTGAACTTCCATGTATAGGTGGGTTTGGGAGCCATATCTTCTACATTCCCCTCACATGTCAAAGTGCATCTGGTATTCTCCTCATTACAAGAACTAGAAATGTTTGGTTTGGGGACTCCAGCTGCACATAAATAATATTCATTGTATCATTAAAGGTCTGTTATGTACTTTTCTGGTGGAGAATCCGCCACCTGCTTGTCTCCGTGGAGATGTTATTGCTTTTTATGATATGTTCCACAGTAAGGCATAAAACAGGCAAGCAGGCAATGCCACTAGATCAAGCTGCAAGTCAGAGTGGTGGAGAGGTGAGTTTTTGACATAGTTGGACTTGTTTTCCAACTACATGGAAACGAAGTCTACATGTTTTTTGTTTTGTCACAAAAGATTTCAAATAGGTTTGATACTCAATACAGATTTCTCTACCACAGTGATGTAAAAATGCTTGTTTCCAACACAAAACAATAGTGCTTTATATTTTCATGTGGTTTTATATTAATTCTGATAAAGCCCAAGATCATTCTAAAACGGTTATTGTTTTTGTTTTTTTAAAGGGCCCATATTATGCTATTTTCTAATTTATGTCATAATGTTGGTTCCTCATTACAAGTTGAGCTTTGTTTCATTCACATGTTTAACACGCAAACCTTGCATGTTCTCCTCTCAAACAGAAAAAAACACTGTTCCACCTTGTGATGTCATGTGGTAATAGAGGAAGTGCTCCTTCCGCTGTGTTGCTGTGTTTTTAAACTCAACACACCTTCACTAGAATCACTTGGATGATTTCAGCCCTTTTTATGGAGGTAACAGTATTATAGCATGCCTTAAAACTCACAAGAGTCAGTTTTGTGTAATTTAAGACCTTTAAATAATAACACCTGCAATTGAAGGTGGGGACATTTAATGTCATACTGTAAAACACTCCAAGCAAGGCATTGTCCCCACAGAGTAAATAAAACTTTTCCTGTGCATACTTACGCATAACATTCAGTTCTATTACATTAGTGTGGCTTTTCCCATTGATCTCAACAGTATAAAATCCACTGAACAGAGGAGTGACTTTGTGGAGAGTCAGGGCTCCATTTGAAGGATTCAGGGAAGTTTGTCCTGAAATAAAAAAAAATAAAAAAAAACAATATGGTGGTATGACCTTGTGAAGACTTATAGTTTGTTACAAGTCTTGGGGAATACCTTGAAATTGTCTAAACTGTTTGTTTTGCTTTAAGATACTGGTGATTGTTTCTTGAGGTTCTTAGGACATTGATACCTATAATATAAATCACTGCACAAAAAGTGTTTCTGACTTGCATTGACATAGGCTACATTATACATCGTTAAAGTAGGAAAACATGCCAAAGGATGATCATGCTCATAATCCATAATAGCCTTGATTTAAATTAATGACTAACTTAATGCATGACTTACTACTAGATTATATGCTTTAAACTTCATGTTTGTATGCTTGTGCGTTGCATTGAACTATGAAAATCTCATTCAAACGATTGTTACAGAACTATGCAGCTACATTCATAATTGTTTAAATTGACTTAAGAAAACAGAAACAGACGCAACAACTACAAACCGTTCTTCACCGTGGTTTGCCAAAAACTACACATATCAAGTATTTCTTGAAAGAAGGACATAGCTACTATAACCTTAACAAGAATAAGCATTTGCAATGTTATGAGTTTTAATGCAAGCTAAGAAAATGGCTTAATATGGCTATGTAATTTGTGTCAAATATTTTACATTCTTTGTGACTGTATTTTTACATTTTAACACACTTTAGTTTTAACAATAATGACACTTGCATGGCACTATTAATGCTTTAGTCCTTAAATTATACATTATAAAACTATTAGTGAAAATTATCTTTAACAGATAAGCTGAAGCTTCTTTGGAGCAGGAGGTGCAACAAAGTGTCTTGCTGACTAAACACGTTTACAGTCATTAACTATGTTCCTTTAGGGTTGAGTGGTTCCACCTGCAGCCACAGTCCGCCTTCAGCTCGCAGCACCAGCTGAGGAAGACGTCTCACATCAGTGGCCCCGCCGTCAGGGTTCACTACGGGACGAAGGCGAAATCTGAGCAGAGTCAACGCCACCACGACCCTCAGTTCTGCCAGGGCAAATTTCTGTCCAATGCAATTCCTGTAGACATGCACGCTTACCATTACATTACCACTGAATAAGTAAGCATATTTAGTAAGTGATAATGGAACAGTACCGTGGGCCTGCAGAAAAGGGAATGAAAGCAGATGAAGATTGGGCTTCTCTATTGTTTGGGTCAAAACGCATTGGATCAAACTCCTAAAGAAAAATAAACACAACATATGAGTATCCTGTATATTGACAAAAACAGTTCTTTTTCTTCTTACATGAGGATTAGACCAGACCATGGGGTTGTGGTGTGTGCCATAGATGCTGACCAAGCAAATGACACCTAAAGTCACAAAAACAAAGAGATATTATAATGCTTCTGCTGTACAAATGAACAAAATAGATCGTAGTGTGTCCTATTACCTTTAGGGACAGTTCGGTTTCCTGGCAGTGCCATGTCTTGGGTGTATTTCCTGGTGACCGCCTGAACTGGAGAGTGGAGCCGCAGACTTTCTTTGATGCACATGGTGGTGAAGGGAAGGCTTGTCAGATCCTCCCTACATAACATAACACACACACATACATATATAAGTTACATACAGAACTTCATAATTACAAATGTGCTTTGCTTTATTACCACTGAATTTCTTGTCCATTCTGTTCTTTTAGCAGCTCCATCACTTCCTCTCTGCATTTTTCTTGGTAATCGCTGTGGCGTGCTAAGTTATACAATGTCCAACAAATTGCACTGGCTGTTGTGTCATGCCCTGTAGGAAACAATGTAGTCTACATAGTTAAATCATTTCCTTATTTTTCTGTTACTCATTAAGATGAAAAATATTACCAGCAAACATGAATGTATTGGCCTCAGCTAGAATCTCCTCATCTGATAAGCCTTGTCCATCTTCATCCTGTAAGAAAAACAGATACAGATATACAGGGTGCATTCTCATCATTCTAAAATAAACCTGACCTGGCTCCAACCTTAGTTTTAACTAGTGGTCATATGTCATAACATTCTGCAGTGCCTATAGTTAAAAACTGAGCTTCAGGGCAGGTCAGGATTTTATGGTTAAAATTGCAGTTAAAATGTCATAAAGCCATTTTTCAAATTTTTTGTATATCTAGTATTATAAGTAGGGCTGGGAATCACAGGGTTTCTCGCATTATATATTGCTGTTTTTGAATAACCAAATACATTTTAGCAATACTATATCTTTGTTTAATCAAAACCTGTGCAAGGTTAATATGAAATCCATCCATTTTAATCATTAGGTGAATATTTTAAGTGTATTGCATAAACAAGTTTCCTTTCACTAACTAACAAGCAACAAAACTGAAGTGTGGTCACACATTTTATTTCTAAAAGATACCAAAAAATACTTGCGCTATATCGATACAGCAGCCCGATATTGTATCTCTAAATTTAGTATCACGATTTACGATTTTTTCACTATTTCGATATTTTTGCACACCCCTAATTATAAATATTTCATAAGGAGTTTGTGGTGCCAAGCCATGACCAAAAATATAATTAAAAAACAATGAGGTTTAACATTTGTGCTTTATCTGTTTTTTATTTTATTTCTCTCCCATTATGGGAATATAGAACAGAAATCCCCAAAGAACACTTGGACTCAGACCACCCATGACTTGACTTTGAACTTGATAGGCCCCCTTTTGAATGTGAACTCAACCTGTGATCTACTTCTACAGTGTATATATACCTGTGCAGACAATATAATGTCCACAAAGTCTTTCCTCCTCTGTGCCGCCATGGACAATCTACCCTTTGTCTGTTGACTGATGAGTGCACGTCGCTTCTGAACCACATCTCTAGTATACCTAAAACAGACAGGTTAGGTATAATTTACATCTTAACTTTAAAAAATAAACTATAATGAAACTAACCCATGCACAATGCTCAATGCCCTCTTGAACCGCTGGCCTTGCTGTGTCTTCCAATAAATGAAATCCCAGTGATGTAACATTTTCAATCTCCGATCCATGATCAGATCGCTCATCTCAACAATGGCGGACACATACTCACTGGTGGATCTGAAATGTTATAGAATTCATGCCATAAACTGGATAAATACATGTGCTGAGTGTATGTTAAAATGAAGTGTCTTACTCCTGACAGTTGCTGCTGTAGCTAAAAGCACATTTAAGTAAACTGTCCAAAGTCATCAGAGTGACGTCATTAAACATCTCTATATTGTTATTTCCATTCAGTATCATACGCTGCCACTTTTCCTGAAACATGATAATATAGACTAAAATAGATGAATACCATAAAATACATAAAACAAATTATCATCATGTATTTTTTCTTACATGCATAATGTGGGTTGAGGAATTAAATGTGACAATGTAGTTTTTCAGAATGTCAAAATGAAATGCAGGGGTTAGCAGACGCCTTTTACGAGACCACACATCGCCATTACTGATCAATAGACTCTCTCCTGGAACATACAAGTTTTTGAAGTTGAGAGGACTGAAGATAAAAAAAAGTCAAGATTGAAACGACTTACCAAGCCATGGGCGTAAGTGGTCATAAATGAGTTCATCTTTTACCGTGATATTGCCTAAAAACATACAAATTTGATAAAAAATTATGCAACATTTTACTTTCATTTCATTTTTTTTAGTATCCTAAAAAAAATGAAATGAAATGGTTATAAGTGACATTGATTACCAGGTGCCATGAGTAGAGGTTTGACAAAGTCTGGGTGGAAAATCCTAACTAAGTGATAGAAGGGCCCAAAAAACCAGCTACAGGAGTGCTTGTAAGTCTTCACCAACTCATCTACCTGGAGAAGACCTTCCTCTGTGCTTTGCATCTAGATGAAGGGGAAAAAAATTTAGAAAATAGAAAGTATCACCCCTATTTCCAGTGAAGTTAAATTGTACGACTTTTTTGCTTGGTATATCTTGCAGTTGGAATAGGTACATTTTGTGCTCTGTCCTTGGTGGAATATTACACGACAAAAAATGGTTGTTGTTTGTTCATAAACGTTTACTGAAAACACTGATCCTACCTGGCCCAGATGCCCTATCAGCCATGAGTGTGTAGGTGGCTTGCTGAAGCAGGACAGCTTGTGTGAGTACCAGGCATGGCGCACCAACAGATTTATGGTCCAGATCACAGCAATTGCCCCCAGTCCTGCCCCTATCACAGCCAGGATGTGAGAGGGGCTGTAGAACCTGACGAGCACACCCAGAGAACCATGAAGAACAGACATGCTGAAAAAAAGGCAAAAACACACTGCAAAACTTATATGACATGAGCTACAGTTATAAAGAGAAGTTAGTGATGTTGAAATCTAAACCAAATGTTGCCTTCTTGATTGTATCAACAGGAAAATGTGGCAACCACTGATATACAGACGTGGACAAAATTGTTGGTATTGCTCTGGCAATGAAAGAAAAATCAACAATAATCACTGAAATAAATTGAAACTGAGAAAAGCTGTAATAAATACAAATTTACAGAAAATTGTCCCAACAAAAATCAAACATTGCTTTTCACCTGTCGTTCAACAGAATTATTAGAAAAAACAAAATTATTAGAAAAAACGAAAATGATGGTAATATTCTGTTGCACAACCTATTGAGGCAAACTCTGCAAGCAGATTATTTCTGTAACCGTCAATGAGACTTCTGCTTTGGTCAACAGATATTTTGACCCATTTCTCGTGAGCAAACTGCTCTAGTTGCCTTAGGTTTGAAGCATTCCTTCTCCAGACAGCATCTTTCAGCCCCTACCACAGCTGTTCAGTAGAATTGAGATCTGGGCTCACAGACCGCTGCAGAACAGTCCAATGTTTTGTTCTTAGCCATTCTTGGGTGTTTTTAGATGTGTGTTTTGGGTCATTATCCTGTTGGAAGTCCCACGACCTATGACTGAGACCAAGCTTTCTGACACTAGGCAACAAATTTCTCTCCAAAATACCATGATAGTTTTGAGTTTCTGTTGTATTTTGCACAGATTCAAGACACCCTGTGCCAGATGTAGCAAAACAGCCCCAGAACAAAACCAAGCCTCCTCCATGCTTCATAGTAGGGACAGTGTTTTCTTAGTGTGCTTCATTTTTGCTTCTATGAACATAGAGCTGGTGTGCCTTGCCAAAGAGCTCAAGTTTTGTCTCATCTGTCCAAATTACATTCTCCCAGAAGCTTTGTGGCTTGTCAATATGCATCGTGACAAATTCCAGTCTCACTTTTTTATGATTTGCTCTCAACAGTGGTGTCCTCACATGAGGTCCACTGGCTCAAACAGTGACAGATGGTGTGATCTGACACTGATGTACCTTGTCCTTTGAGTTCACATTTAATTTGTTTGGAGGTTGTTCTGGGCTCTTTGGTTACCATTTGTATGATCCATCTCTCCAATTTGTCATCAATTTTCCTCTTATAGCCACGTCCAGGGAGGTTGGCTACAGTCCTGTGGACCTTAAACTTCTGAAGAACATGTGTAACTGTAATCACAGGAACATCACCTGCTTGAAGATGGTCTTATTGTCTTTACCTTTAACCTGCTTGTCTATCATTTTCTTTCTAGTCTACTGACAGGTCTCTTCTTCACTTTATCTGGTCCATGTTCAGTGTTGTCTTCATCATGTCTCCAAACAGCACGACAACATGTCTCCCTTTAAACAGGCAGACTGACTGAGGACAAGTTTGAAGACACCTGTGATGCAGATTAGAGGACACATCTAAGTTTAACATGTTCCTATTGTTCAGTTACTTACAATCTTTTCTAGGGGTACCACCATTTTTGTCCAGGCCAGTTTCATTAGTTTTTTATTTTATTTTTATTTTTTATAATTCTGTTGAACAACACTTCCAAAACAGTGTCTGATTGTCATAGGGTGTTTGTCGGGAAATTTGTATTTATTATTGCTTTTCTCAGTTTCAAATTATTTCAATGACCATTGTTGATTTTTCTTTCCTTTCCAGAGGAGTACCAACAATTTTGTCCACGTCTGTATTACAATAAAATGTTCAACAATGTTAACATTGTGTGTGTGTAGAATCCCTCAGTCGTCCAGGCAGAATCCATGGCAAAGGAAAAATTCAATTTGTCAACTGGACAAACGTTTATTTAAGTTGACAATGTTTCGCAGCTCATCCAAGCTGCTTCTTCAGTTGTGGTCAGAATGGATGAGCTACAAAATGTTTATGACCTAAATAAACATTTGTCCTGATGAACTGAATTTCTCCTTTGCCATTAACACTGTGTGAAAATAAATTGCTCATATCTTATTATTTTTACCTTGCGCAAATAACTTTGGACAGCATCGCTACAGCTAATACTAGAACTCACCACTAGATGGCAATAATGTATTCCAATGCTTCTAGTCCCATGTATGTAGATGAGAATTAAGCAGACGCAGCCAGTGTGACTCGCCCATCGACACACCTGAGAATTAATGAGCAGAACGTCAAGGTTACAAATGTAATGCCAGTGGCAAAATAACACCACAAAAAGTCACTTTGATCCTACTTTCTTTTCAGGTAAGATTTTACATTTATTAGGTGAGATGTTTTGAGAGAAAATAGATCAGTATTTAGCCATACATCACCAATATCAATGTCTTAAGTGATGCAGACTACTTTTTTTTACCCAGGTTTTAGAATATGGATGAATATAGTTTTTATTCTGCTTTTTCATAATACACATTTCAATTTTATGCATCAGCTAACTACAACTTCACTGCTTACTTGTATACTTCTCAATCAAACAAGCTGTTTCTTATCCAGGTTTCCATCCTGATGATATGAATGAAAAAACTAAATCACATGACGCATGTGACAAGAACTGGAGTGGCCTCACTGCTTCAACTCCCTATTGCAGTTCTAAGCACCTCTGGTTACCTGTGGAGCAACATCTCCAGCTTGAATGCACAGAGAAACAAGAAGACAAGGGGGGTTGTAATACTGTGAAATCCAATGAACACCCTCCATCTGATGTTGTTGAGCTCTTCTGTCCCACTCTGCCCTCTGCTGCTCTGGCCCCTTTGGCTCTTGGAGCATACACAGGGCCCCACACCGATGTCCTCAAGCAGGGTTATCTGGGAAAGCAAGAGCACAAGCATAGAAGATATTTTGTTCTGAGAGCTGGAAGTCACTCCGGGCCAAGTCGCCTTGAGTGGTACAAAACACAAGAGAGGTTCACTGCAGTGGAAAAGTCTGCAGATGAAGAAGGGTTTTTTGGCTCTCACAAGCAAGGGTAAGAACTAGTGCTTATGTGACCCCAAAGTTGTGGCCAGTGATAAGTGTGTTTGTATTTAGGGTGATTTTCCTGAGGTGCTGCCTTGGTGTGAGTCTGATCAGAAGCTCCAGAAAAGACTACAAAGTTGCCCTATATGCTAAAGACCAAACCATAGTATTTGTGGGTAAGGATGAACAAGAACAACAAGAGTGGTACACTGCTATTAAGGAGCTGATGGAGGAAGAGCTACAGGATGCAGATAGAGAGGGCTTTGATGAAGAGGATGCAGGTTACTGCACCTTACCCCCGGCTTCCTTCTTTAAACAGGTCAGCAGCATAGAGAATGTTTGTGATTGTACATAGTTTTCGATTTAGCACTTGTGTCTCCTTAGGTGTGGCCAGTCACTGTGAAGCCCAGAGGTCTGGGCCGCTCCAAAGCTCTCACAGGTGAGATCCTTCTGTGTCTTACAGCTTCTTCTCTGGTCTTGGTACGAGTGGGCCATGACCATGAGATGCCCTCAGTCATACTGCCCCTGCTGGCTGTGCGGCGCTTCGGTCATTTGGATGGATCTTTCTTTCTGGAGCTGGGCAGATCTGCACCTCATGGGCCTGGAGAGATCTGGATGGAAGCAAGAGAGGAAGGTATTTAGAAACCGTATAAACGTGTTATTCATAAGGCTAACTTTAATATGTGTTTTTTTCTACCTTGACAGGAAATGTGTCCCTGGCACAGCAGATTCATGAGGTTGTCCGTGAAACAGTGAGGGCTCTAAGAGTTATTCCAGACTTTAATTGGTCCTCAAGTCCTAGTAGAAGCAATGGCTCTCTCTCCCACAGCCTGTTTGCCCTAAAGCGCAGCCGCCCAAAACAAAGGGAGAAGCTGGGCCACTGCAGACCCAACAGTGGCCCTCAGGTCTTATGTGGAAGCCTGCACAGTCACAACCACAGTGACCCTGATGTGGAGGAGACACTAAGACCAGACAATATGAGGACAGAGCCCAGCTCTGAGCCAGAGGCTGACAGTTACATGGAGATGAAGACGGAGCATTCTCTGCTCAGAGAGGGGCCTGGGTACGTGCTGATGACCCCACAGCTCAGTCAGAGCCTCCATCAGGATGACTATGTGTCTATGACCAGTCCACAGAAACAGGCCCTAACCAATCACACATCACTCTCTTTTCTACAGACCTCGTACAGGTATGATCTTGTTTATCTGTTAACAATGATGTCTATAATTTCTGATCTACTGTTTGTGTAGTTCTGACTCAGATGTGCAGACTCCACCACCTTGGACACTATTCTCAGGTCAACAGTCAAACCCGCGAGCCGTGACTGTGTGGAGCACCTCCTCTACCATGAGGAGAGCCGGGGGTCTCAGACTCATCTCTCTGTTTGGCAGAACCTCTTTGGAAGCAGTCAATCCCCTGCCCACATCGCAGCAGCCTGTCAGGAGAGGCCTACTGTCCTGTCTACCATCCTGTCTACAGCCAAACAGATCGTAATGTCATCACAAACTGATGGGGAAAGCAGTTTATAAACAGTATTCATCTGTTGATTGTGAAAGACTGTTTAAGTTTTTTTTTTTTACCCCAGAAGATGCCTATTCTGCATTAGAGGAGAAAAAAGTTAGTGTGTGATTTTACTCTCCCATTTGAGGCAGTGTGTTCTGTGATTTTCCTTTTTGCTGAAAATGCACCGAAATCTAGTATCACCATCACAGTAATGAGAAAATAAAGCAATATAAATGCATACCTTTATCCTGTTATCTGATAACTTTTAAAACTGAAATTAGTTAATAAATTATAGGAGTCCAATTATTTGCATGTCAGCATCTGAAACATGACGAAATGACAAATAATAGAACTGCAATACCTTTGAGAAAAAACATTTCTCCTCAAACTAGTAATGTTTATAGAGTGACTGTCATTAGTGTGACAACTCCTGTTCAACTGTAACACCTGTGAACCAGAGGCACAGACCAATCTGAGGTGTAAAAAAAAACAATGATGCAACAGGCAAGTGACAGTTCTGTAACTTTTTCCAAAGAGATTTTAATGATAAATATAAAACTGATGTAACGCAAATTTATATTTACACTATACATATTTTATACTTAATATAATAAAAAATACTGGTATATATTATTTTATTAACACTTGTAAATACATGTGTTAATGAAGGCAGAGCATCAGGGTCATGATAACAAATTTTGAAGTACAATATATTGAAGAAATTAAAAAATGATAATACTGAAAAAAAAAAAAAAACATTATGCCACTGACATAGTAACCCAAGAGCAGATTTAAGCTACTAGTCTACTCTCTAAACTACTCTAACTCTACAATAATTTTAAAAAACATGAGCTGCAATAAATAAACAGCAGAATGAAGCACTTCAGTACATTTTAGCACTTTAATTTGCATCTGTAATCACAGAAGTTATTTCAGTTCAACCTTCAACGGCTTAAATCTTCATAAAGCCAAAAAATAACAAAAATTTCCCCCAAAAAATTTACACAAGATAAATAATAAATCCCAAAAAATATTGTTCCATTTATCATGTACTGAATGAGGACGGTAAACGAGGTCCATATATAATATTTATACTGACAAGCTTAGGACAAGTTTCCTGTTGTTTTGTTATTCCACTGCATTTATTTATTTCTTTATCCTTTGGTAAAAAACTTTATGTGGTCTCATTTTTGAGAAGTGAAAATGTCTCACATAATGAAGACCATGTGACCTTCCACTCTGGGGTCCCTGAGTTGGTTGATGACAGCAGATAAATGAGGAGTCCTGGCCTGCCCCTCAGTGCGCTCTGATGGAGGGCAGTGGGGGCTCGTCTTGGTGCTTCCCTCACTTGAACAACTCGTGCAGGCGTCTGCAGCAGCCACACTCCTCCACAGCACTCCTCTACACTCTACTGGCTCTGGTCTCTCTGCTCACTGTGGCTCTCAATCTGCTGGTGATCGTGTCCATCTCTCATTTCAGGCAGCTGCACACGCCCACCAACGCCCTGCTGCAGTCCTTGGCTGTGTCCGACCTGGTGGTGGGGCTACTGGTGATGCCTATAGAGGGGGTACGGCACATGGAGATGTGCTGGCTAATGGGCAGGCTCCTGTGTGTGCTCACTCCATATGTGTCCTACTGCCTGCTGTCAGCCTCTTTAGGAAACATGGTGCTCATCTCCATAGACCGCTACCTGGCCATCTGTGACCCCCTGCTCTACTCATCCAAAGTGAACCTGAGCAGAGTGCGAGCGCTCATCTGTCTGTGCTGGGCCTGTTCTCTGCTCTATAACGGCTGTATTTTGATAGGACACCTGAGCCAGCCCGAGCGCTACAGCACCTGTCACGGGGAGTGTGTGGTGGTTATCAGCCACACCGCAGGGACTGTTGACCTCCTCATTTCTTTTGTCACACCGTGCACAATTATGGTTGTACTGTATCTCCGTGTGTTTGCAGCGGCTATAGCGCAAGTACGAGCGGATCGGTTCAGAGTAGCCTCAAATGCACAGGAGACAGGCCCCAGAGTAAAACGCTCAGAGACGAAGGCGGCCAGGACTCTGGGCATTGTCATAGCAGTGTTTCTGATGTGTTTCTGTCCTTATTACTATCCTGCTCTTGCAGGCGAGGACACTTCCACAAGTCTGTCCTACTATGCACTCTTATCCTGGATCATGCTGCTGAACTCATGCATGAACCCTCTGATTTATGCCATGTTTTATCCCTGGTTTAGGAAAGCTGTTAAACTCATCATCACGTTCAGAATTTTGCAGCCCCACTCGAAAGAAGTCATTGTCCTCTAGATGGCGCCAAAAGAATGTCTAGTCTTACTGCAGCAGCAACTTTATAACTGTTTGAAGTTAGAAATTTCTACATTATGATTTCCCCTTTTCAAATGTGTAGTCTGTTTACAAGCTATTTGTAAACTTAATAATATTATGTTTTATCGCAAAAGATTGAGCTGGAATTAAATACAATAAAAACCTGTCAATGACTAAACAGGTAAATTAGATTAACCCTTAGGTGTTCTAAAAGCCTTTATCTGTAATCAGTAAATGTCCAACTCCACTATACAAAAGATAAGACTGACTGTCCCATAAAGTAAACAGTATATGTAGTCATCAAAAGACCTCAATGGGTTATTTCAATGTTCTGAAAATGTATTCACATTGAATTTTGATCATTAGCACAGGTGTAGTGTAATTAAACTCTGTATTTTCGCTTTACTGATTAATCCAAATCCTATTTTGTGTATGCTACTAGCTGAGATCACATTTAATCATTATTTACCTAAAAAGCCACTGCGAAAAATATTCTATAGTGCTCAAACTAAAATTTTTAAAAGATGCTACTACGACAATGTAGGTTGCTATTCATGTCATTGATGCATTCTGTTTTATTTATTGTGTTGTGTTTGGCAAACCATATATAAACAGACAGTGACTTAATACATTTGTGACGGATGAAGACAAAATAAAACTCCACAAATATGCTACTGCAATACTAGCTGCGTTCATCAGACTTTGATAATATTTCTCAGAACTTACTCAAAATATAGAGGCTTGTTTCCAAGGCGCAGGTATTTTCTGGACACTACAGCATTTGAACACATAACGACCTCAGGCGTTACAGAATCTGTAAAATACCAAGAGAAAGATCAGACTCAAGAATTACACCTCAAGCATATTGAAGACTGAAAACTATATTACTTTACAGTTTACAAGATGTTTTCTTTATTACATCTATGTGTTTGGTTGTTGAAATTAGAAATTAAATTATTAAACTATTAAAAATGGTTTTGGAAGTTATAAAAATTTGACTACAAGATGAAGACAACTTCAAACTATTTACCAGCTTCATCGTTGTGCCATATATGCAAGTGTGTATTGATTGAAAAATATCATTTTAGCCATAATTCTCATGTGTATTTGTTGTTTGCTGCATTTTTTTTTTATACATTTAGAATAATAAACAATTCATTGAAACAAAGCGAGGCCATATTTAGTTGAGTTTGAATAGATGATGACAGATTGCATCATCTTCGTGAGAAAGGCTGGGTGGGGGCAATAGATGAGGATAAATACAGGGCCTATGTTGAAGTTTGAATGTTATGTCCCTGATGGAGCAGGACAGTAGGAGCTCGTCTTGGTGCTTCCCTCACTTGAACAACTCGTGCAGGCGTCTGCAGCAGCCACACTCCTCCACAGCACTCCTCTACACTCTACTGGCTCTGGTCTCTCTGCTCACTGTGGCTCTCAATCTGCTGGTGATTGTGTCCATCTCTTACTTCAGGCAGCTGCACACGCCCACCAACGCCCTGCTGCAGTCCTTGGCTGTGTCCGACCTGGTGGTGGGGCTACTGGTGATGCCTATAGAGGGGGTACGGTACATGGAGATGTGCTGGCTGATGGGCAGGCTCCTGTGTGTGCTCACTCCATATGTGTCCTACTGCCTGCTGTCAGCCTCTTTAGGAAACATGGTGCTCATCTCCATAGACCGCTACCTGGCCATCTGTGACCCCCTGCTCTACTCATCCAAAGTGAACCTGAGCAGAGTGCGAACGCTCATCTGTCTGTGCTGGGCCTGTTCTCTGCTCTATAATGGCTGTATTTTGATAGGACACCTGAGCCAGCCCGAGCGCTACAGCACCTGTCACGGGGAGTGTGTGGTGGTTATTAGCCACACCGCAGGGACTATTGACCTGTTTGTCACCTGTGTGGGCCCATGCACCATCATGATTGTCTTGTACATACGAGTGTTTGCCATTGCGGTCTCTCAAGCACGTGCAATTCGCTTAAGAATCACCTCAACAGGCTCTGTAGTAACAGTGGCCAAACCATCAGAGAAAAAGGCAGCCAGAACTCTGGGTGTTGTGATTCTTGTGTTTCTCATTTGTTTCTGTCCATACTATTATCCTGCTATTGCTGGGGTGGAAACATCAAATAACTTGTCCTACTTCGCTATACTGTCCTGGATTATGCTGCTGAACTCATGCATGAACCCTCTGATTTATGCCATGTTTTATCCCTGGTTTAGAAAAGCTGTTAAACTCATCATCACATTCAGAATATTTCAGCCCCAGTCTAGAGAGCACACTTTTTAAATATTTTAGTAATGTTCAAGCAGTGACAAACTTGTGAATATTTGTTTAAACAAAATCATATAATTTTCTTCTCTCACCTAATATCTTATTGTACATTGACAGAGCTGCATTCTTGTTAGACACGATGCTGCAAAACAGAACACAAACGCTCAACAACTATGTCTAAAGCCTCATTTGTAAAAAATATAACATAACATGAAATGAAATGGAAAAACACATGCTGTATGCTGTTATTTGGATTCACACTGAAAACAAGTTTAAGTTTTAAGTAGTGTGAAGTGTGAAGTCTTTAGCTAATGAAGTAAGTAATGCACAGGCGTGGCTGAGATTAAAATTAACAAAATTGTCTGTCTGATAATAAAACCAGCTTGTTTTATGATGCCATCATTAAATTGTACATAATTTCCTCAATTAGGCCTACAGCATTGCTTTCAAAGACCTGTCAACTCCCTTCTGGAGCAGTAATTACATAATGTGTATTATTTGACAGTGTCTTTATTGCATTGCCTGGGACATTATGCTGACATGAACAGATATAGTTGTCACTTGGTAAATCATCGGATTTCAATATATAAAACACAGCTGTATACTTCAAATGTGAAAAGTATCATAACTTCAATATGACCATTATTACCTGTATGATTTCAAATTCACTCTTTTATCATGGGAGGCATCAGGGACCTGAGAGAGATCCAGAGATTTTGTGAATACACCACATATCAGGTGAATGAATGAAGTTAATAATGCATAAGTTAAGCTGTCTGAAGCTCTTCAGTCGGAGCTGTGTCTACAGGTAGCACTCTCACTCTCAATCACTGTAACGTTTTTTTTTGAAAATCAAACAGGAACAACATGTGTTGTTTAAAACCATTTTGTATTCTTTCTTGAGTTTTCAGATGATCTTAAAAATGATCTTAAAAAGTTTTATCTGAGTTGGCTAATGTGTCCATTGTGTCACCATGGTAACTGCTGAACATTCCACCATAGAGATACATTTAAACATCCCCAACGTGATGTCACTGCAAAGTATCAATAAAAACTCTTGCACACTGTGTTAGCAGGGGATCAATAAAGAGATCAATTTCCAAGATGAACATTGCAATCTACTAATCTAATGATTAGATTACAATGGAATTGATTGCACAGCCCTGTCAGATACATGAAAAGCCCAGCGACATATCTTTGCAAAGCACACAGAAGAGGACACCAAACATATTCTGACTCTTGAATATTGGAGAGAGTTTTCCACTGGCCACAATCAAACTGTTGTGTTCTGCTGCAAAGCCCTCTTATCTCCTGTAGCGCTCGGGCCAGACTCATGATAAAAGCTGCACAAGGACAGCAGCTCAAATGTCTTCACAGTCTTGGCCAGGACTGTTCTAAATAGCAGTGTCATGAGTCAACATTAAATATCAGTAAATATCAACAAACTTTCATATTAACTGAGATTTAAAAGTTAATATTTTAACTTTGAAAGTATTTTTATGTAGCCTTTTACAAAAGAGCGCAAATACTGTAGTTGCTTCTGCTGTCTTAGTTTTCCATGTGATAGTCAAGGTCAAATTAATTGTAGCAGCAGTAATGAGGAGTAATGTAGATATGACTTTACATATATCTTTTGATCTATCAGACCTCAGTGGAATATGATATGGTGGCTTTCTCACTAGTCCGTGCACACTTTGGTCATTCAGTTCACACAACGAAACGGGGAAAGCAATGAGTGGAATGTGGAGTTTGGCTGCATGGATTTGAGTTAAAGCATAGTGCATGCAGGCACTTGCCACCATGTGAGTGCGGGCCGTGCGTCTTTAATCCTGACGCGGCTGCCAGTGACTGGCTCACAAATCGGATGTTTTCTCATTCGAGCGTTTCCCAGACACACCTTTCTCTCCCACAGACATAGCAGCCCACGTCCCTCTCTTCCTCTAATTCACTTTAGTGTTCCCGGTGGATCCCTCTCCCCAGGAGAAACTAACAGCACAATTGGAACAAATTTGAGCTTTTCACTTTTCACTTTTTTTTTTACCTCTTCCTGTGTGACACCAATACAAACAGCCCAAAGACATGCTTAGGGAGATATGTCAAATAAATAGAGGTGAGGCTCCAAGGTGTACCAGTTTTGTGAACAGAAAAAATGCTTGAGAGTAAAAGCTATAACTTTGGGCAGATAGTCAGTTATAAAAGATACCAGAATTGGCCAAAACAGTTAAATATCACTACAAGCTGCCACTAAAGACACTCTGTACACTGTACCTAACCCTAAAACTACAGTACAAAATGTATATTATGTGAAACGATAACGTGAGAAGTCCATAAGCCAATATACCCTCCACAATACAAGCACAAATCTTGTGTCTCAGATCAGTAACCCCGCCCACGACTTGGTACAACCCATCCATTTGTGTCATTTTTTCTCATTCACCAGACAGGACGCAGACAGGACGCAATCCCACACCACATGTGTTTGGATTGGAATATAATCAGACACGATTTTGCAACTCCTTTGGGAGCAGGATTTGGGAAAAGCCTTTTCTTTTTCTCTGCGGTGCCTCTCCATGAGTCCAACAGGAAAGTTTGGTCAGAATTAGAAGCCAGCAGAAAGGAGTTCCCTCAACAAGACGTGCTTTTAGCTTTATCTTGGACAGGGATGGGATTAGTGCTACCAGTGTATGAGAAGAAACAATATAGATAAGGAGAGCAAGGACGGGCACATGTTTGAAGGACAAGGAGACAAGGGGATAAGTTAAGGTTTAAAAAATAGATTCAATTTAAGGTCAAGGACAAATTCAAGACATTCGAGATTCAAGAGCAGAAAATACAACCTGCTACGGCTGCCCCTCTCTTTGAAGCCAGACACCTGACCTACAAAATAACTGGAACGATGCATACAGAGCAGTAGCAGAGGAAGTAGCTGCTCCCAACACAATTGCATCTGTGTTCGCTACCATTAAGTCATCATGTTTTATTCAGCCCTATTCCCTAATACAAACAACCTGCGTCGGAAGAGCAACTTTGTCCCAGGGTAGAATGAAGAGAGGAGCAAAACGGATATGTGCCCAGTCTGATATCCCCCGCTGCTCCTCCCTGCTCCCACCACACTCTGCGTCTCCCGTCTCTCCTGTACGTTGCATGCATCAGTAATCCCATTCACTTCCATCGGCTCACTATGTGGATACCAGCCTTGCTCCTATGGATCCTTAACAGCAGCCACTTGTGCTCAGGACAAGACAATACAGACTATTACCAAGCAGGAGCCACTGAGGTGAGGCTTTCCTTCTGCATCTGATCTTGTATGGCTCTTTACAAACAATTCAAATTAATGTAGAAAGTAAAAAGAATTGATACCTGTAAAACTTCAATAAATTGGTTTCTTCTATAAGGTGTTCCAAAAGCCTTCAAACCTACAAGATAGAAGAGGTATGTTTATGATACATTAGAGACATTCTGCCTTTTGGCAGCACATGTATACAAAACAGGTGGGTTTACGTCAAGCTAAAATGATGGAGTAAATCCTGGGATTTTGTGTTTCGTGTTACTGGTTAAGAAGAAATTATGTTACTGTGCACATGTCAATAACAATTATAAGCTCTTGTATTATGAAAGCATCCCACAAATGTATTCTACATAATAGTAGGTTATTTCGTTTGTTTAAAATGGTGTTAGTCTGGGCTTCCAGCCTTACTTTAAATACAGTTTAGGTTCCTTGCTGGAAAAATTCATGTGCTCTGAGTACTAACACAAGCATTAGTCATAACTGATGGTGAATAACTTAAAAGCTTTCTACATCAAACCTCTCACATAACAAGAAGTAATAAGGGTCCCACCCTTGTTTGAACAGATACAATTGCTTAATACATTGTATTTGCAATACTAATCTTCCCATTGACCAGATATTTCACTGTGAACCACCACATAAACTGCCACTATGTGGAAGGTGTAAATAATCACAAGGACTTATTTGTCCATTATTATGGCAAAATAGTCACAATTTCTCTGTAGGTCTCACAGTACCTCTCACAGTAAACTCCCTTATGATGCAGGTACTAATACTGCATCCAATATTACAATAATATAGCCACAGGTTCAGAGGTAACAGGAGACCAAATCCATTTTATCAAATATTCATGAATATTATCAGTTTTATCACCGGATGGTCTTTTTATTACATCTTAATGATGATTTATTGATTAGCGTAGCAACAGTAGAGTGACTAAACTACTGAGAAGACACAGCTGATATGGCAAAGCTTTCGTATGAATGGGTGTGTGTATGGCAGTAACATCCAAAGACACACCCCAAAGCTCTGTCCATCATGACCTCATCGTCCCACAGCTATGGCCTCATGGAAGATGGCCGCTTACTCCCTGAAATCAAAGAATATCATGAGTCAGGATAGTTGTGTGAATAAACCATTAGAGATAACATCTGAAATAGCCTGATCTCACATCTGAACACTAGAGAGGGACTATGCAATCTGTGACCTACAGAAGCTTTGTTTCTGTACAGTTGATAGTGGTTATTAACTCAACACTTGCATGTGTTAAAAATACAATTACAAACATTGTTATTTCTAACATGTTTAACAACATCTTGAATAGCCTTTTGTATTGGCTTATTACTTTCTTCAAACCAAACCACAAAGTAAACTGAAAGAAAGTTACACATTTGTGTTAATTTCAACCTAAATGCCAACTTGAAGAGAGCAGTAAATAATTTTATAACAAAGAACTAGGCTACAAAACATTTACTGTCGTATTAAGGCATTGGCCACCATTAGGCTACAAAAAACATATCTTCCCCTATAAATGCTTCCATAAAACACGCTGGAAGGTTTGTTTTTGTTTTTGAACTTAACCATTATATGAGTAAATAAGACGTACCTACCCATGATATATCAGCGCCAATTTGG